GCCCTCCATGAAGAAGCCTAAGTTAAGGGCTGAGATATTCTTAAGAAAAGTAGGTGTTTTACTTTAGCCCTTGGTTCTGTCCATAACAACCAGGTACTTTAGAATGAGTTGAAAAGCCTTTAGTTCTATCTTTAGAAAAAGGTTTTGTAAGAGAAAAAGGAGTTAGTTACTCTTTGTGGGGAAAAAAGAAAGAAGAAATGTTAAAATAAAGATTTCAACAATTGCTTAGGTTCCTGCGTAGGAACCTAAGGGCAGTTTCACAGAGATATAAATATCTCTTACATCTTAAATGGAGCCATCAAAAAATCCTCCCATCTCTTGAGCGTGAATGTTCTGCACAGTCCTTTTTCTCAGAGTTCCCTGTCTTTTTGATCTTTCGGTCAAAGCTAATCTAGAAGATGGGCTATTTTTGTAGTAAGATAGAGAATAAAATGCCTTAGTGGTAAATCTGTTGTGACAAGTGGAAATGCTGAGTTATAAATAGAAATGGAAGAAGGTATCAAGCTGTCGAGTTGTATATATTCATGAACTTCCATTCCCTTTCTGCTGAGAAAGGCAGGAGTTCAGGTGGATGCACACAGGTGTTTGAATCATGTACCCAGTCACACAAAATATTTGTGTTACAGGCCAGTATGTGATATAACTAAGTGATTAGTGGAATGACTCCAGCTCATAGCTAGTTGTATTTAGTATTAATTAAAAAAAAAAAAAAAACTATCTTTTTTTTTTTTTTTAATTAAAAATCTTACTGTTCTGAAATGGAAATAAGATCAGCTTCTTCCAATTTTCTATGGTGGATCATTCCCATGAGAAAAGATGAAAAGGAAAAATACTTCTGGGAAAATACAGCCAGAAATCTAGAAGTTAAAACTACTGTGTTAGTAGCTCTTCCTTCTTTGTTTGATTCATGTTTTTGTTGTTTTAGTTTATCATTAAAGCTTTTGCCTTTTATAATAGCACAAACAGTAGACCTTTAAAAAAATCCAGTGAATTCATTTAGATTAAATTGGCGTGGAAAAATCTTTTCTTAATACTTTCAAAGAGGACTAATCTGGGCATAGTGGCAGTAGCAGCTTGCTATCTGTCTGAATAGAACAAGTGGTGCTAACAGCACATGCTTCTCTACTATGTTCCCTTAATCTCTGGTTCTCTTCTGACAGGTCATATCTCAGTATGAGGAGGTACTTGAGCCTCCATGTGCAGTTGGTCCCTGGCCATTTTCTGAATCTATCAACAAATTTGCTTGTCAATTAATGCCAAGCATGTACAGGCTTAGTGGTATGGACATTTGCTCACTATTACTAGATGATTTGTACATCTAGACTGATGTTTCACTTTTGATGATAAATAAACAAAAGCACTGTTTATGTACTGAATCTACCTTTTGAAAGTAGCTTTATATTGATGATATATAGAAAACATTTCTCATTGTTTTATTGTGTGATTATGTTGCATCCTTCTTATTTGCTAGGTCTTACAAGGATGTGCAGGCCATCAGGTAGGCTATAGCATCTTCATATGCATTCTAAAGCGTTTTTTCTTGTTTTTCCTCTGCATGTTTTCTAATATTACATGCCTTTGTGCTTTTGAAAGGCACTCTTTTGCATGTCTGTTCTGTCTCACTAGATTTGCAATGAATGATCATGATTCCACAGGGTGAGTACATGATTTGGTCTGCAGGCTTGTCTAAGCAATAGGCTGTACAACAAATAAAATCAGCATTAATGCGTTTTGAGAGCTGATTGTTTTAAATCAGTTCTGCAGGATGCTGAGATCTTGATGTTTATCTAAAATACTTGCACCAAAACATGTTATTAAGTACAGCAGCAATGATATATGGCATTTTTAGTATGTAGTTGACAATATGCTTGCAACAGCTGTGGACTTACTCAGCTTACTTCTTGAGTTGCCGTTTTATTGCTGTTGTGCTATAGAACTGCTGTTTAATTCTGTTTGGCCTAATTCTGCAGATTTTCTGTGAGCAAAAATGAATTCAGAGGGAACATTCTAGAATTGTACTATCAGTAATACTGTTGGTTTAGATGCCTAAAATTAGATATATGAAAGTTTTGTTTTTGAATGGTAGTGAGCACCTACTGCTCTGAGCTATGTATGGGAGAATCTCAGTATTATGGTATTTGCAAATGGGTTACATTTGACAACCTAGTACAGATTCAAAACCCTAGCTTCAATTGCCCAAATTTTAACATTTTGATGGAAATGTCAATGAACTAAATAGAATGACCATATCTTATTTAGCCTTGTACTGACTGAACATTTCCTGACACTTTTGTTCCACAATAATAATGAAGTAATTTTCTCATGTATCAATTTTAAAAAGAAGTGAATCAATATACGCTAGTAAATGTTTTGCTGGATTCTTCCAATGTGGCAGTTTAGAACAGACAGTTCAGCAGTTCAGAATGGTTTGAACAACATTTGTCTGCTGAGATATAAAAGCAAATTGAAGACTTTTTTTTTATTATTCTTCGTAGAGTCCAGCGTTATTAGAGGGAAATGTTTTAACAAGTTAACTTCTCAATTAGATTAGCATTTTTACTTTAATATTTCCTTTGAATTGATTTCTGAAGAAAAGTTTTATTAAAGTCTATAATGTGGACTAGTTGCGTAATAATTTTAATGATGTGCCAGATTCAACTAAATGCAATGAAAGGAAAAAAAAATGGGGACTTGGGGAGTTGTGTGGGTGTTTTTTGTTTTGTTTTAAATCTACCTATGGTTTAGGACAAATGGAAAGAAACTGCATTTTGTTTCCAGTACAGCTGTTTGAATGTAAATCAAGAAATCAGTTATGGGTTGGTGTTAATCCCTACTGTTTATATTGTTTGCTCTTGCTGCTGTTGCTAAGTATATAACTGTGGTAGAAATAAATCATATGGTATAAAATACTATCTTGTTACTTTTCTTTCACACCCAATTTCACTTCAGAATTATTTCATACAGAATAGCTTTCTGAGCTCTAGTATAAAGACATTTTCCTAAGAAAAATAGAAATTATTAAAAGTAATTTTAAAAATAAAAGTAGAGTTGAAACAGTAGACTGCTTTTAGTCTCTCAAGGCCTATTTTGATAATGTTTTGTTTAAAAACAGCAACAACAGAACAAATGAACACAACGTCCCCTCTGCCACACACTCACACACACACTTTCTCATCTAATAGAGAAAGAGACTTCATTCTCCCCACTGCTTTCTGATTGTTAACCTTTTTTCCCCTTTGGTTGAACACTGCCTTACCTTACCCTTTTCTTCCCATCTGTGGGCTTTCAGCAAGTAATTGTAAAGTAACAAATTCACTTTGTTTTTTGGTAAATATGAAAAAAATCATGGTAGACAGGAAGCTGGAAATTTTGCCTTAGAAAAATTGATGATGGAGCAGATTTATGGAGAGACCAGTCTTCCCATCTCCCTCTTCCCCATACTTCATCTGAAAACAGAACATAGCAAAGTCTTTGTGGTTATTTTATTCTGATTATAAATGAGTGTTGTTGCCTGCTTAAAGATATCTCTGGGTCACATTTGAGTGTTTATACTATGTATTCATCATATTAGAAACTAATAAGAGAAAAATCAGAGGTTTATGAAATTTAGAATTCCTTTGGCTATTTTGACTTTCTGAGCTTTTATTTTCTGTGAGTCCTATGTCTATGGCATTCAGTGGTACACTAAGTACTACTAAGATTTTTTTTACTTCCTGGTCATGCTCAGAAATTCTAAATTCTTTAACTGAGCAGGAACAGATTCTTATTGTTGTCAGTAGTTCTAAGAAGGGGCTTCTCTTCTCTTTCTTCCATACTTTCCTGCCTTCCCTCCTGTTCCAAGTTTCAGAAAGCCTTGCTTTTCCTTGGAAGCATAGTTTAGAGTAATTGTGGTTAAATACAGCAGAAATAAATTTGATAGTTTTGTAATTTTCAGTCCTTCAATAGTGTTTGTTTGTGCCTTTTTAGTTAGATTCCATAAACTTATTTTCATTCTTTCCCATATATACTATAGCTCTTCGAACATTAAATTCCAGTGTTGAATGCTTTAGTGTTTAGCTTGAATGTAATCCATTTAAAGTGGTACCATAGAACCAACTTGGGATGTCAGTAATTTAATTTTCTAAGAAGCATTTCTGTTGTGTGGAGTTTTTTCTCTCTTTTCCCCATTACAGCATATGCATGGAAGTGAAGCTACTTAGTGTTTTATTTCTTTTACTTATGGCACTTATTTGTAGTGATTCCACCCTCCAGAAACATTTATCTTTTTATCTCCACTTTGCATTGTATACACATTATGTTATATGCATTCCAAGATAGACTCTGCCAGAAGAGCCTTCAAGAATGATCAAAATTAAAATAGGGAACATTATTTGAAATTGGGAGGATCACTTGTAGCCGTGACAAATTTGCTATTTCAGATCACAGCATTTTTAAGCTAGTTTTACCATGATTTTTGAATTAAATATAGTAAAGACTTTTTAATGGAGCAATCATTTATGAATATTGATGCAACTGAACTCAAAGACACACATACTTCCCAATTACAGTGGAAGAACTCAACTCTGTACTTAATAGAAATGGGCATTAGAGTTGGTGCTTTTCAAAACAAAAATATTTTTCACCCATTGGTGGGTTAGCTATACTTCTGCCTATTTTGCAGCCTGAGTGAACTCCTTTAAATGTTAGCATTTGTCTTCTTTCCTACTCTGAAGTTCCTAGACACAGTGAATTTCTGCTTACACTGGGGGAAGGCCCCAGGAGGAGAGAAGTCTGTGAGGTTGATGTTTACATGTGAATCAGATACTTTTTTTTTTTTAAATAAAATGTATGTTGTTAGAGTCAGTTTCATTCATTCTGATAAAAAAAAAACAAGCCATGTCCCATATTAGAACCAATTTTTCATGGTAAAATATCACAGGCAAGGGAAAGCACTTACATATTTGGTCTTCTTGATCTTTTTCTTAAACTCTTTTTTTACCTCTTTTACTTTATTTGTGCAGTAAAAAGACGTGTGGATGGGAACCCTCACGAAATGTCAAGGGCCAACAGTTTCATCGATGACATTGATCTTGTATCTGAGGAGTCGCCACTGCCAGCTGTGACTGATGTGGCACAGTAAGTGAACTAAAAGCTCTATCTAAAAGCTCTATAAATATCTGTTAATAGTGAGGAAAATTCAATACTGAATTTTCATTGGCTATACCTGAAGCTGTTACAAGCTCGATCTTATGTAATTTTATGTAAACGTTTCTATGGGCTTCAGGTTGGGTTTTTAAGTTCAGCAGAGGTCATCTGCTATTTGGAAAGAGAATTACTCTATGATAGGTGGCTTTCAATTTTGATGTGTGTATCTTTATTTACATCTTGTAACAGATAAAATGGTTCTTGTGAATGCGTTTCACAGGTACATTTATACTTTGAGTCAGTCAAATCTTTAAAGATCTCCTACAATATGTGTAATACTGAATGTAATGCTCATGTATAAACAGAGAAAGGCAACACTGAGAGTAATGTTTTGACAAGGAAAGAGATCTTGTGAGAAAATGGTACACCAACAGTTTGAAAGCAGAACTATTGAAGAAGTACTCTTGGTGTCTGTATTGTCCAGAACAGAACATTCACGCTATTGTGAGTTCACTGCTGTTGTTGCATGATCTGTTATGTTGCTTGTCTTGGGTTTAGCAAATGCCTATGATGGTATCCCTTGAAAGAAGTGTGTATGCAGAATATGTCTGAATGGCTGTCTTTTGATAGGGTATTGAGTAATCTTGATGCTTTTGTCCTATATTGTTCGATTTCAGTACTGGGGTGCTGGAATCCTAAAAATTTCAACTCTTAAGCAGCAGGTTAGAAGATACAACAAGGACTGAATGAAGCACAGCATCCAGATTATCTTTCTTAGGTTTTATCTTGCATACACAAACTGATAAAAAACAACACCGGTGAAACTTGCAGGTTAGCAGTGGTTTATGGCCTAAGAGCACAGAAGAGCTGATAAAAGCCTAAGAAAGTCTAACTAGTGATTTGGATGTTATGTAAATGTGGGTGGAAAATTTGACTGTGTTCACACTTACAAAAAAAAAGCATGGAACTGTTGTTGGGAAAACCCTCTAGGAAATATTTGAGCACAATGTTGCTTTTTTGAAAATCGAGATAAGCTTTGACTGACTTCTCTTAGATATGACATTGGAAGAAACTTCCAATGAGTGAGTTTTTCTTTGTTTATTTGTTTATTTTCCAGCTATGGGAAAAGAACTTAGAAGGCAAAATGTTATGTATTAGATTCACAGATATCTATTTGACCTGTCACTAGACTAACAATAATTTACTGGATACTCTATCATAGTAAAACGTTCATGTGACTTAGAAATACGTGTTCAATGTGTTTGTCAATCTAACAGAATATGCAACATATTAAATTCTCAAAGACACAGGATCAAAAAAAGAATATTTTAAATGATACATGCATGCCATTTGTTTTGTTTGGTTATTATTGTATATTAGGAAATCAGCACATGATTTTACAAGAAAATTGAAATTGTGCTCAGAATAATGAGATTTCTTGGGTTTTTTTTTTCCTTTCAACTATTCAACTATTCTATATTTATCAAGGTGAATATATGATGAAATTCCGTACACATGAATATGAGTGCTGTTCACTCCATGACAGATTTGTCATCAAACCAAGATTCAAGGGATTTGTTTCCAGTTTGGGAAAGGCTGAAGAGCTTTTCACTGGGCAAAAATGGCATTTAGGAGTAGGCTGCCGGAATAATTAATACAGTATGCAGCAGGCTTCCAAGGGAACTTTGAAGAAAAGAAGCATGTATGAGCAAACTGAGTGTAGACTCATGTAGGCCATCTTTGTGGCCTACATACAGCCAACATAAACTACTCAATGCATGACAGTGGATGTGGGAGAGAAGATTGGATTTGTGTCTTTTTTTTTTTTTTTCTTCTGAGAAGCTGAAGATGGATCTTAACGAATCACTGAAATCTGCATAGGACTTGAAATGTCATGAACTGGGGATTTGTGACAATTCAACTCCTTCCATTTCTGCCAGTGTATGCCGTGCCCTAAAACAGCTATGCTTCAGGAAGACTATTTTTATACAGGAAACTTAAAAATTAAACACTATTATGAACAATGGATTTTTCTAATTGTAACACATTTCTGAAATTAAGCTGCTTGTATTCATTCTTGAAAAAATGTAGATGTTATTCAGAATGAATTGGAAAGGAAAGCTGTTTCAAACTGCTTTTTACATGTTTTCTTTCTCTTTATTTGCTTCTGCTGTTAACTCATGCAGATGATATAAATGTTAAATGAATAGTAATTATAATATGCTTTTATATAGGATATCCTTGTGCTTGTAGTTTCCTAGGATAATATCCTTCAAATTGAGGAATTATACACAAATTTGATGAGTGAGACAAATCCTGATTCAGGAGTCACGGTGCGGTCAATGAATCAGACAAATTTATTTTGAGAGTACAGTTCAACCAAAGTTCTTTGCATAGTGAACCTTCTCCATTTGCAAAGTATGTGAAAACATGACTTTGACATAACAGTTAATGATAATATGCTGTGATGATGACAATTTCACATGAGGAACGTCTTTGTGAAATCAAGCATGACTTTGTCAAGCTGCCAAGTGGCAACATTTTCCCTTCTTTCAGCAGCATATGCATTGCAAGATCAAGCTCACAGTAAGTCTTTATTTCAAAACCTGTAACTGCTCATTTTTTAAACTTTGCCGTCTGCTATATTGATACTTAAACATGAAAAGTTAGATCTCTAGTTGTAATTTCTTTTTCTGTAACACAAGTGTTCTTTTAAAATCTTCTGTGCTACACAGATGACACGAGATGTTTACTAATTGCACTAAAGACACCTTTACTGTAGGTGGTAGTCTGATCAAGACTTGTGCAAAAGGGTTGTGTGGGAAGACAGATTTTGTCCCAGAATAACAGAATTGCTACACTTGAACACTGCTGCCTTGGATAAATCTCTGTTGCATCAACCTGCACATGTTCATTAGCTGTGACAGTAACTGCAGTGGTTATTCAGTAAAGTGAATTGGACTTGTTAGAAACCATTGAATCACCAGGCATCTTGAGTGATAACAACACAGTTCAGGAGGCTGCAGCGCTGCCCAGGTTTCAGTGGTTAATGCTTCCAGTGCTAGATTTCTATTATTGGTGATCCATGCAAGCATAGAGAAAGTATGGCTTGCTATAAAAGGGAAAATGTCAACCAAAAAACAAACAAACACACAAAGAAACAGACAAAAAGAGCTAACAAGCTTGCAGTTTGAGCTCAAGTGTAGCATAGCTTTCTGTATGAATATAGCTGCTGTAAATAGCTGGCATGATGTTTCAATTTCCAGAGATCTTGGTAAAATTCTAGAAAAACGCAACCACTCTGAGCTAGGGAACAAAGATGACATATTTTATATGAGTGCAGTTGCTGTCTGAAGCTACTGCTGAATATCTGAGACCAAGTTTCTTAGGGTTAATAAAATCTCTCATAATTGAGGACCTCAGTGGAGCTAAGGTCCACTCAGATACTTTATATTGGCTGAGTTACTGAAAGCTGAAATACAAATGAGACTGATAGATTTTGACACAGTTTTTTAATTATGAATACTGTCAGACTCGATTAATTTCAATCGGTTGTTGAATAGTAGGCTTTTCTGTTTCTAACAGCGAGTGTCAATACTATCTTATAATGTATGATATACTTACCCAATTTTTCAATTCTGTTGAGCAAGTAGAAGAATGAATAGAGAACTTATAAAGTGATGTTTTATTTGTGCTATAAAACCTTTAAAAAGCCAGAGATTATATTTGATCAGTTACAGCATGTCTGCTTGGTCATCAGGGCTAATCTACATATATCGATATTAGTTTCAAGGCAAAACCACATGTTTAGAGTGGCCCCTGAGATCTAAATCTTAAGTATGTCTTTCTAGAGATAAAACATTAATTTTTCTCCCTTTTATCTTCTTGTTAATATATCTTACATTTCCTAATATACCTTCATCACACCTTTTTGGGGGGAGTGGGGAAGGCAGAATTTGTAATATCAAACAATTTAAAGATAGATTTTTTTAATTCATCTTGAGTCAGTTGTTAATAATGAAAGAGGTAAGAGATTTCTCTGAATATCACTGAATAGGCAAGTGGCAGGCTATGATGTCTGCTTTTTCTGTTAAGTCTTACTTGTCCCCTGCCCATAAGCAGCAGGCCTGTTTTATCTATCTGATGCAGCCTACCATATGTACAGCCTACCATATATATGCAGCCTACCATATGTACAGCCTACCATATATACAATATCCTCTGAGAGAAGAACTCATATTCTTTCTGGTCTCTAAAATGGAGAAGAAGATAAGGTTGCTGATTCTTGATCTCTGTCCATAGGCAAAATAACTCCAAATAAAACCTCTCAAAGTACATGTAAATTTGGAATGTGACAAATAGGAAGAAAAGAAGAGAAATGCACATTCCAAATGGGAGCAGGGATTGAACAATAATATATCTTTAATGCTTCATCCTAACTGGATCATTTAAGATGAGCCTCTCCTAAAAGCTTGCTCAAACTGGAATTACAGCTTAAATGTTCTTTACCTGTCTTAAGTGACAAAGCTTTTGAGGGTGGTTATGAAGTTTAACTGAAATGCTAGACTGCCAAATGCAAGTCCTACTAATTTTCATTTAAAGTACTCTTGAACTACCTAAACCCCTCTTGAAGGAAGAAAAAGAAAAATAGTTGTTAAAATGATTGTCATGAACAAGCTGCTTGCTGAGGTCCTGTGTAGGCTGTAACAATCATTTGCGTTCACTTGAATGCTGTAGCAGGGAAGACCTTGGAAAAGAGGGAGCTGCTTACATGGAACAGCAACAGTGCTAGAGAGGAACTAATGGATGGGTAGATATCCTTCTGCCCATCACAGGACTAGTGGAGATGTCCTATCTCTTAGTCTCAGGACTAGTGAAGTTTCACAATTTACCTGTGTGTAGAAAATATGGAGGTGAAAGCTCCCTTTAGCAGCTAAGAACTTAATATGGTTGGAAAGGAACCCTCTCTAAAAGGATAGAGCTGAAACAGA